CGCCAGCTCGGCTGCCGCCCGGCCCAGTAGCGCAGGCCATTTGGCCGGGTTCAGGAGTCCATCTGATGTATTAGTTCGAGTCAGTAAATAGAGGATCAATAAACAAGCTGGGCCCCTATAAATGGCAATTGCTGCTTTTCTCTTCTTTCCACTCCAATTCCCCTCTCTCGCCGCCCTCGTGCGCAGATGAACCATTAATTATTCAACCGGGGCCCTGCCGCCTCCCGGGGCAGCGCAGCGGCCGGGGGGCTACGAGATGATCGGCGCCCCCCCCCCCCCCCAAGCAGCTGGGCAGCAGCTGGCGCTGCCCGGCCCGGCCCCTCGGCCCATCCATCTTTCCGCAGCCCCCCCCGCCTTCAGATGCAGCTCTGGGGTGCAATGGAGACCCGCCCCCATCCCCGCTCTGCCCTCTGTGCTAAGGGGGGTGTCCGCCCCCTCTTTGGTGGAGGGCATCGGCGCGGCTCTGCTCGGGGCGCTAGGGACGGTCGGGGACGTCCCCTCGCCCCCTTTTCAGCCCTCCCTAAGAGCCAGGGCGAAATTCAGTCCGAACCTCCCACCGGGCCAGACCCCAGCCTCCGAGTGGGCAAGGACCGGTCCGGCTTGGGGACGTAGCCCGGGAGAGACTCCAGGTCCAGCGAACAACGGCCCCGTCTGCCTCTGCGACCTCCCGGCCTCGCCCCCGCGCGCGGCAGCCCACGACGGGACGAGTTTCCCCAGTAAGGAATGAGCTTGTCGGGTTGCTTTTTGTAACGGCACAAGCAGCAGAGTGGGCCGAAACGTCCCCTTTCACCCGTGATCCCCTACCCGTGGTCTCCCCACACTCCATCCCGGGCACCCGACACGCTGGGATTCCCGATGGGGAGCCAAAGCGGTTCCACGGCACCCAGCTCCACTCCCAGGCGCTTATTTGGGAGCCGGCTGCTCCTGTGGGCTCTCAACCCAACGTGTCCGTGGGTCGGTGGGTGCCTCCGCGCTCACCGCTCCCGACCCTTCCGGGACGATTTCGTCCCTTTTAGCCCAAAGAGCGTTTAGCCGGGGACATCTGCGACGCCAGCTCTGCTCTCCACGTCTCCCAGCGCCTTCATTCCCAGCGCTGGCCTCGACGGCTCGGGAAAAAAAAACACATCCCCGCCAAGGATTTATTCGTGCACCCAGGAATAGAAAATTCATTGGTGATTATTACGGCGGAGGGCGATAACATCGTTGTTTCCCTTTTTATTTGCGACACGGTTACTCCTTCAGATCCGCATTTATTTGTCCTTAACTCGAATTAGCGCTTGACGGAGAAATCAGGCGCTTTTTTCCCCCGCGCGCTTCTGCGTCCGAAACCCAGCGCTGGCATAAAGCGCTTGATGCGCCGGGCAGATTTATGGACAAGTCGATAGGATCCCTCCTCGCCGGGAGCCGCCGCGGGAGGCATCGCCGGGCGCTCCGGGCTCTTCGCCGGTTCCCCGCAAGCCTGAAGTCACCTTGGATCCCGCGTGGACCCCGTCCCACGCGCGAAGCCCCTCGAAGCCGCCCAGTGGGTCCGCGGGCACCTTC